GACACGCGAAAACGACAGGGGCGCGCGGGGCGGGGGAGGCGCGCCGGCCCGCGCGGCCGGCTGGCCTCCGCCCCGCCCGCCGCGGCCCTGCGCAGCCCGGCCAGCCGGCGGCCCCAATGGGCAAGCGCCTCGGCGAGGCCGCGGAGCCCCGGCGCCGCCCGGCGCGGCGCCTGCCGGCCCACCCGGCCCCGCGCCAAGGGCAAGCGCTGGCCCTCGGCCACGCCGAGGTCCTGTCGCGCTCGAGGACGGCGTAGACCTCCGCGCGCACCGCCTCGGTCGCCTCCGCGGCCGCCGCGTCCGCGGCCGCGGCCGGGGCCGCCGCGCCGAAAGGCTCCGCCGACGGGCAGAAGAACAGACGTCGGCAGAATCACAAAACCTCGGAAACGCCGCGGGGCTTCTCGCATCGGCGTCAGATCCCCCTGGCGGCACCTCCGGCGCATCCGAGCAAGGCCGGCCCACCTTGCCTTCCCCCTCCCCCCCCCGGGCGCACCGGCGGCATGGGGAGGACAAGGAGATGCCGATACTGCTAGACTCCCCAGACATCGCCCAGAGCGCGATCTCACTAACAAATCGAACCGAATGCAGACATGGCGACGAGAGCTTGCCTGGAGGTCCCATAAAAGCAATAACGAAATTGCCTCCTCTGGGACATACAGTCGAGGCTCGGCCACAATAATTCTTCCACAAGAAACCCAACCTGAGACCCCAGGACGTCCACTGATATTTGGTGCGGGAACGTCACGATTTCCATAGCCAAACCAACGACAAGCAAGCAACCCAGAGCACCCCGGAGGCAAGCAGGGTGTTTCTTGGCGTTGGGTCTCCACTGTATATAGTCGGGCTGCTGAAAGAAGGAGCGCTAAATGAGGAACGAAGCCCCTTCTTGGCCCGGTAAGCGCCTCCGTGCCCCAGGAGGGCAAGAGGAACAGCACCGGAGGAACCTGAGGAACATCGAGCCCCTTCCGAACCTAAACCGTTCCTTATTTCAGCGTCTTGACTGTAGAACTTTCTCCCTCCCTCCCATCACTGTCCCCTTTGTGGAGGCGCGGGCAGACGGAGGCACATGACAACCGGCGGCGTGCTGCCCGGCAACTGGCGCGCGCCGTGCAGGAAGGACCACTCCTGCGGCACGGGGCCGCGATCAGATGGGATGAGCCTTACGACCGCCAACGGCGCACGTTCACATGTCATCCAGCTTCTCCTCCTCCTCCTCCTCCTCCTCTCATCCTCCTCCTCCTTCCTCCTCACTCTCACTCCCTCCTACTCCTCCATTTTTGCCTACTCCCCATCCTCCTTCTCCTCCTCCTCCTCCTCCTCCTCCTCCTCTGCATCCCCCTCCTCCTCCTCCTCCTCCTCCTTTTTCTCCTCAGCATCCTGGCCTCGAGGCGACCACGCAACTCTTCGGTGCCGCGGGTGCCGCTGGTGCGGCCCTCCAGGTCGCGGCGGCCATCACCGAGGCCCTGTGGTG